AGAGCCCACCTTTCCATGCTGTCTCTGAATAATAACACTGTTTGGAATTTTAACTTAATCAAGTGCTTAGCAAAATGAAAAAGGGGTTAAGAAGACTACACGTGTCTTACTTTTAGGATCCTACTGTATAGTCTCCATGGTAGTAACACTACTGTGTGGAATACAGGTACAGACCTGCAAAATAAGACATTTAAATGCAAGTGACTATATGACATTGTGGTGTTTTCTATTCCCTAGTTGAAAATGAACGTTAGGCCGAAATGTTTATGTCTGACTATAGGTTTTTTCCAGATTCCTGTTTAGTAATGAGAAGCACTGATAAGCCCTGCTTTCATCCTCAGAGTCCCACAGACACCAATTATTCACACTCAATGTCATAACTTCAAAATATTTAAGATGCTCTGTACTTTGATGGGCTCTTTCTTTTAGAGATGGCAATGATAAAGAACCAAATTACCTGAGCCTATGTTTTTGAAAGTCATTATAGTTTCTGCACATAGAACCCTGTAATGCTGTTCCAGCAATCCTGTTCCAGTGTCTTTCTCCAAACTAGAAAATACATGACTTGACCACCAGGGATATTTGTACCAAGTCCAAGTCCCAAGCAGGGTGGCTCTGCCTGGACTATCACCCCCGACACTCCATCAATTAACTAAGTCTAATCAACTTAGAAAACCAACAAAAAGAGGTCAGCCAAACAACTGCTGTAAAAGCAAAACTAAGTCCAGACAGTGATAAATCTGCTTCTAGTTACTTTTCTCTCTTATTCCCAACACACCCAGGTACAGACTTTAACAAAGGCAGGTGCAAAGGCTGGTTTTACTGAATTACACACCCAATGAGGGGAGCCAATTGTGGACTTGAAAAAAGTAGCCTCTAGCAATTAGAACCAAAGCAAAAAATGCATTTAATTCAAAAGTATTGAACTCTACAAAAAAAAGGTCAACCTTTCTCAATTTGCCTTAGCATCTGGATAGTGCCATGCTGCATTTTAGGACTACCAGCACTGTAAGGAGTCTCTTCTTAGTATTCGAACCACCTAGATCAGCTACTTCCTAAAGTAGACGAGAAACATCATTGTGCAAATGCCACTGGGATAGCGGAAAATTGAATATGCCTGAAAGCTGATTACTTATAGCCTTGCATTTCTTCACTTTAGTCTTGGAGTGTTCATATTCAGTCCAAATGTTTCCAATCACTTTTTTCCAGCAGCTTTTTTGAAATTTAATTAACAGACAATAGACTGCACATATTAAAAATTTCTAACTTGGTAAGTTTTGGCATATGTTTATATCCATGAGACAATTACCACAGTTAAAATAATGAACATGTGTTCCTTGACTTAACAAATATAAGTTCATTAAGACAATAAGCACATGATAATGAACACCTCCAAAAGGTTCTTTGTGCTCCTTGGCAATCTCTTCCTCCTATCCCCTCTTTGTACTTTTACCCCTGGCACAAAAAACCACTGACTATTTTCTGTTATGCCTGAGTTTGCATTTGCTAGGACTTGATAAATATGGAATCACATGGTATTTACTCTTCTTATGCCTGACTTCTATCACCTAGCATAATTATTTTGAGATTCATTTATATTGTAACATGTATTACTAGTTCAATCTTTTTTATTATTGGGTGGTATTCTGTTGTATAGATAGACCATAGTTCATTTATCCATTTACCTGTTGATAGATATCTGAGTTGTTTTCAACTTAAGACTATAACAAAGCTCCTATGAACACTCACATATATCCTCATGTGGACATATGCTTTTGTTTCTAGTAATAGACTGACTGGATCATTTAACTGCATGTTTAACTTTTTATAAACTGCCAAGTTGTTTTTCAAAGTGGTTGTATCATTTCACATTCCCATGAAAAGTGTATGAGAGTTCTAGTTCCGCTATATATTCACCAGCACTTTATATGGTCAGTCTTTTTATTTTCCTAACAGATGTATAGCAGTGGCTCGTTGTGGTTTTCTTTTACATTTCCTTAATGACTAATACTATTGATTATGCTTTTGTGTGTTTATTTTCTATTCCCGTTATTTTTTTGGTGATATATTTGTTCAAATCTTTAGCCTTTTTTATTGAGTTATTTTTCTTATTATTTATATTTTAGACTTCTTTATATATTCTAGATATGTCTTGTATCAAATCTACAATTTGGATACATATATTCAAAAATATATATTCCCCATCCATGGCTTGTCTTTTCATTTTCTTAACAGTATCTTGTGAAGAGCATAAATATTTAATTTTGAAGAATTCCAATTTATTAATTCTTTCTAAAATGTATTATTACACTAAGGTAATCAAGACATTATGGTATTGGAGCAAAAATGAACAAATAGATCAGTGGAACAGAATAGACAGTCTAGAAGTCAACCCACATTTATACGGACAACTGTTTTTTCACAAAGTCACAAAGGCAATTCAGTGAGATGGGAGGCCCTTTGTAGCAAATAGTGGTGATATATGTTGTAGCAAATAGTGCTAGGACAATTGAGTATTCATAAGGGGAAAAAAACTTTAATTCATGCTTTATGGGTTCAGTTATGCCCCCTAAAAATGTATGTGTTGAAGTTCTAACCCCCAATACCTCAGAATGTAACTGCCCTTGGAGATAGTCTTCAAATAATTAATTAAATTAAAATGAGGTCACTACGGTAGGCCTAATCCCATGGGTTTGATGTCCTCATAAAAAGAGGAAATTTGGACCTAGACAGATACAGAAGAAAGAGACCACGTGAAGACACAAGGAGAAGGTGGTCACTTATAAGCCAAGGAGAGAGGCCTCAGAAGAAACAAACCTTGTCAACACCTTGATCTCAGACTTCTGTCCCCTAGAATTGTCAAAAAATAAATTGCTATTGTTTAAGCCATTTGATTTGCAGTCCAAACAAATTAATACCCCTACCTATCACCATGAACAACAGTTGGCTCAAAATGAATCACAAACCTAAATTCATAAAAAACATCTAGAAGTAAGCTTTGGTGAACTTGGGTTGTACAAATATTTCTTAGATGCAACACTAAAAACATGATTTATTAAGGAAAAATTGATAAATTAAACTTAAGGCACTGTTTAAGCTTTTCCCCCCTAAAAAAAAAAACCTCACACAGAGCACCTATATATAAAATAGATATAAGCAGGGCAGGTTTCCTCGGTACTGTTTCCTTAGTTCTCCCACCACCTTCCTCTGTAGTTGCTAAGGTCTCTATACAGAATATAGGACCCCAAAGAATAAAACATGGACGCCACTGAAACATGATGTTTGAATATGCCCACAAAAAAACCCACAGACTTTTATTGAGAGGCTATTATGTGTTGCATAATGTACACTTTCCTACATTATTTTCTCTTCTAATTCCATGAGGTAGGTATTATTTACATTCACACATGAGGAAATTCAGGCTGTCACAACTGATATATATCACAACTGGAATCTGGGCCCAGTCTGATCTTCAAGCCCATACTCTTTAGAGTTCCAGTGTTCAGGGACACCTCACACACAGTGCCTCCGAGTCAAACATAAAAGATAAGAACATGAACTTTCTGTGGTGATATATGTTATAATACATTTTAGAAAGAATTGATAAATTGGAATTCTTCAAAATTAAACATTTATGCTCTTCACAAAATTACACAAAATAATTGTAAGTTCTTAAAAAAATGAAATTTTTATTTCCCTAGGGAAATAAACTAGCTAAAAATAATATATAATGAGCATTCAGGATATAATTCCTAGAAAGCCATAGCAGCACATGATAGTGTAACAGCATAGCTATAGAGCAAATATTCTTGGCAAGGCCCTCCCCATCTAAGATACCCACATGCCTTCCCTACTGTCAAGCAAGAGGCGCACAGAGATCTATGGTTGACAAATTCCACTTGTTCAAAAGCCTAAGCAAGTTAGTTGAGTTTGCTGTATTCAGAAGAAGGGCAGAATAGCAAAATGGTTAAGAATATATTAAGGTCACACGGGTAGTAAAGAGATTGAGTCCTGCTTGGACCCCAGATTTGATGCTATTAATGGAGGCAACTGTTACAATATCCAAACTGTATCACGCCCTAAGAACTTAATATTGCATTTAAGTCCCACAACAACACTGTGAACCAGGTATCATGAACCAGTGCATGTCCTTATCTTTTATGTTTGACTCGGAGGCACTGTGTGTGAGGTGTCCCTGAACACTGGAACTCTGAAGAGCGTGGGCTTGGAGGTCAGACTGGGTCCAGATTCCAGGTGGGATATATATCAGCTGTGACAGCCTGAATTCCCTCATGTGTGGATGTAAATAATACCTACCTCGTGGGATTAGAAGAGAAAATAATGTAGAGAAGTGTCTATTTGTTTCTAATGGCTACCGGGCATTAGAGAGAGGCTTAGAGAGGATAAATGACGTGGTCGAGCTCACACTGTAAGTAAGGGACACACCATGATTTGTGTCCAGCTCTGTACCTGCAGAGCCAGTTCTTTGAACTACCACTCTAGCCTGCCTCTTTCAGGCAAGGAAGAACAAAGACAACAGGGAAGCTCCCACCCTCCCCATTGCAACCTCCTACTCCCATGCCTTGGGGTAGGGCCGTCACTCCACTGGTCATCCTGTAGACCCCACAGAGGGGATTCTCCACTGGAGAAGTCAATCCAAGACTGCTGGGAGAGGAAGACAAGGGGTGCTCAGATCATAGGTGCAGAGAGCCCTGGCTTTCGAAGGCAACCAAGTCACATCTGCAAGGCAGCTTCTCTGTCTGGCAGTTAATCTGCATCTGATTGGCATCACAGAGCTCAGGCTAGCTTGTGCATATTGGGAGCTGACGTGCTGCTTTCTTCCAATGAGCCAAAAAAAAAAACCAGCCAGCGCAGCCTTCCATGCCCAAAACCACCTTGGAGCGGGAAGGCCTTAGAAAGAATGAGGAAATGCTTGTCACCCATCCCTTCTTCTGCAGCTTGGTAAAAGTGCATGAAAGATTTAGAAGGGAGGTTTTTACCTGAAAGTCATTAACAGTTGCTTATTCCCTATGAAGTTTCAGGCGAATTGCTCAGCCCCACCACAGTTTAATCAACACACATCCTAACTGAGACTTTTACAGCTTTAAAGCTGTAAAAGTTAGGTTTTGCCTCTCTCTAACATAATTACAAGTTCCATATTTTTGCCTGAGGCTAAAATGTAAATCATTTCCTGGTATACCACAACTTCCCAGCACTGACTATATAAGGCAAGGCTGCATAGCATTTAAAATTAAAAACATCATTTTCCTAAATGTGTGTGTCATTATGATGTTTACCCATGTGTTTTTGTTGGTTAAGTCCCAGTTCCTATGTATTTTAGTCAAAAGCCTGCTGGCATCGTCACATAAGCTTGGCAATATAGCCTAAAACTTGCCACAGTTTTTCTTCTCTTTGGGTTCTCTTTATGAGTTACTTTATGGGGCTCCAGAGCACCGATTATAATGCCTTATAACCAGCAGGGGCTAAATTCATCTCTGTTGGTTAAAGTCTCCCCTTAATCCCTTAGAAATACTGCTCCTTCCCACTACCCTTAAATCATCACCATTGGAACTAGTCCTAATGAGGCATAGAGGAGAAAACATGAGCTATAAGATCTGAAAGACCTGGCTAAAAATCCTGACTCCTCTACTTAAAATCTTGCACAAGTTTCTTCACCCCTCTGAATCTGTGTTTCTTCCTCTATATGATGGGAATGATAATAACAGACTTAAAGAGATCTTGGGATAGTTTCTAATGGCCACTGGGCATATGGTAAATGTTCAATAAATGTTAGTTCCTTTCACTTTCTCTGCCCTTCTTATTCATACATCTCCCAATTCTACCCCTGACAATAGGCCCCAGACCTGTAGGAGTCACAGGGAGAAAAATGGAGTTTGTAATCACAGCTCAGGAAATCATGAGAAAAGGAGCAGCCTTTTGAAAGCTACGTTGTATTGAATTTCTTTGTAAGTTCAGTCCAGTAAAGTTAAGAGAAATCAGGGTATCCTGGGTTCCAACTGTGGCTATACAAGACTAGTTGTGTGACCTTGACCAAGTTATCTAACTTCTCTAAGTTACAGTTTCCTTGCATGTAATTGAGGGAATAAGAGCAGTGCCTGCTTTGTAGGGCCATGAAGGGTATTAAATGAGGAAGTGTATCCAGAGGGCCCATGACAATAGCTGGCCTATTGTAAATATTCAATGTTAGTGACCACTTGCCATCACTAATGGCGCCAGGAAGCATGCCCTGACATACCAGCTAAAGACATGGATACTAGTCAGCATTCTGTTGCCTTACTCATTGCATGACTTTGGGCAAGTCACTTAAATGTTCTGCACCTCAGTCTCCTCATCTATAAAACAGAAATACTAATAGACTCTCAACATTCTTCACAGCATTGTTGGGAGAATCAAATCAAATAACAGGCATGAAAGCCCTCTGTGAAAGACATGTTGTAGAAATTTTAGAAGGTATTATTATTACAGTACAAAATGTTACAGAAATGCTAATGGATGCTAATCATAAGGTCCTTAAGTTCACCAAAAAGTAAGTTGGTCTGAATAAGGCTTAACTGAGTGAATATATATATATAATAATCACCCCAGAAGCATCCATTAGCCAGGAAATCATACTTCAAAGAAAGATTTTAATGCTTCATACATATTTATGTGGTCTAGTTCTGATTTTGGAATTCAACAGCCCATTTTCATAATACTAAAATCTCTTCCCTCACTGGAAGATTGGGGGAAAGGAAGAAAGAAAACAAGAGAATAAGTTGCACCTCCTGAAAGCAGATGAAAGGTAGGGCAGGGATGGAGCAGGTGAGCAAACTCATCCTGCAGAGACCTTGAGCGGCAAACTTACTGGCATGATCCCAGGAGACAAGAGAGGTAATGCACTATTTCCCCCACCAAACGACATGGGAGCAAGGGGAGGAGTGCTCCGTAGCAGGTATCTGTGTTCCACATTTTCCTTAGAAAATATTACTTAACTCAGTCCTTTTCCAGGGTTTACCTTTGGTAGAAGAAAGAGGAGTAGAAGATCACTCTTATCCCCTTCATGAAACAGACCTGCTTATTCACAGATATGTATTAAGTATATACTATATGAAAATACAAAGTAAGATTTGCCTCCATTTTCAGGAAATTGGCTCACAATCTGGAGGCAGGAAGAAGACTGATTTAAAAAAAAAAAACTTTAGAGATAAAAAAAGGTTGGGGGTGAGCTCAAGATGAATTAATTGAGAGAAAATTCAGCCCCCTAGGGTGAATTAAAAGCACAAAATAAGCAGAAAACAAGAAAAAGAAAAGAAGAACTAAAGAGTAAACCAAAAGGGCCACTTGAGACACCTAGCCCATCAAAATTCAGTAACAGGCTAACAGACTTCTTCATATGACAGCAGACCACAGGCTTGAGATATATGACAGGAAGTTTCCCCATTCCCAATTTAAAAAACCATGAACAGATACATGTATATAAGTACACACACTTAATGACTGGCAAAGTACAGAAAGCCAAAGATCAGAGAAGAAACAACCATTTACTATTAGCATGAAAATGCCATTTAATATACCATCAGTGAGACTGGGTTTGGAGGTACAGTGGAGACCATGCATCACAAAATGTATTCTCACAACAAGACAGAATGAATGATCACAAAGAATGTAAGAAAAGATCTTGATTATCCCTAGAGTTCACACCAAGTTTCAGAACACAAGGGCTACAGTGGTCAGAAATATGGTGAGCAGCATCTTGTTTATTGGGAGCTTTCTTTTCTGCAGTCACGGATGTCTACCCAAACCAGTCTTCCTATTCTATGAGATCTACTTATTCTACTTTTGGTAAGAGACCTTAGCTCTCCTAACTTAACAAGATAATGAGTATGAGTGGAAGCACAGTTATTTAGAAAAAGCCTTATCAACAGGAGCAAAGAGTTCCCATTCTGGGAGGGCATATGGAAAGAGTACTTAATGTTTTACACTATTTAAATAACTTCAAATTACATGTGACCATATAGTTTTCAGAAATTCAAGAGTTGTGTTAAAGCTATTAACAGTAATCTACCTAAATCCATGATAGATGAGTTCCTGTTAGACATTTTTTTAAAAAGAAAGAAACATTAAATTAAAATTTTAATTTAAATCTGAACAGAACATGTAGACAGTATGTGAAGCAAAAATAATTTACCTATTCTTTTTGTAAATAAAGACAAAGCCTGGATAAATCTCACGCAATTTAAGTATTAAAAAAGTAGAAAAAGAGACCACAAGGGGATCATGGAAAAAGGATAGTCCAGCAAAAGAGAAAATATATAACATTATAAAACTTCAAAGAAAGAGAAACTTCTAAAAACAGTTTTCTCAAACCAGGTTTCTTAAGCAGGTGAAAATTTAAACCATATTTTGTTGTCTTCATAAGGATGTAAATGGTCACCATCTCTATGAAACAAAATCTGAACACAACAAATAGAGAATAAACTGGCAAAATAATTGGCTATAATATGAAACTATAAGGAAACCCCAAATACAATCAGAAGTTTAAAAGTATATTACTTATCAATAAAAACAGAATGAAACTGAAGAAAATATAATTCATGGCAGAACATTCAGGTTACTAGAAAACAAAGCAAATCAGCTTAGCATCAGACTTTTTATCAGGAATGGTAGATGCTAAAAAAGAAAAGAGCAATGCCTTCAAACTGCTAGAGGAAGTTATTTTAAATCTAGAATTCTATACCTAGCAAAATTATCAGACAAGCATTAGGTCAAAATAAAAATATTTTCAGGAAAACAAGAACTGAGGAAGTTTACCTTATGTACCCTTTGTAGAAAAAAAAGATCATTTGAATATGTAATGCAGGGGGAGAAAAGGAATTTTTTTAAAAGAAATATACAGGATGTAAGAAACAGGATGGAAGTGAAATAAGGAGAAATACCAGGACAACAGCTCTGAGACAGATCTAGAAATAGGCCAATACTTACTAGAACATTCAACAAATACTATGACTAACCAATTGCAATATATTGGTAATATAATGGAAAGACATGTGGTTCTTTTGTTATTAAAAAAAAAAAAGCCAATTAGAAACTAAATACATTTGCCCAGAATGGTTCAAATATAAAACAAGTTAAATCATGGTAAGAGTCTAAGTAACAGATAGGATATTAAAATAGACACAGAAGATCCATTTAGTCTTCACCTTTAGAACATTCCCAATACAGGGGCAAAGGTGTTGAAATGCATTGCTTTCTCTACGTATCTAATATTTGTACCAATTATACAGTGAATATTTATATAACCATTATATTAAAATTCTATCAGTTTTTGACTTTCAAATTTAACCTAGACAAAGCATAGGAGATTTAATGAGAATTAGAGAACAGAATGTTCTAAACATTCCCCTCAGAAAAGTGACAATACAGCTAACAGAAGTTGGCTGGTAGAAAAAAGGAGTCACAAGGGATGCTAAATTGGGGGATATATTTCTTCAAATAACCAAGAGTCAAAAATGTTCAAAGTTGATGAATCAAGAAGTTGAAGCTTAAGTATTTTTTTAATTTTAAAAGTTACTAATCTGAGAATAACAAGTAAAAAGAAAAACTGGAAGAATTTGAAAAGGAGAGGTAAGAATAGTATAAATAACTTGAACCATAATCTTTCATACTAAAAAATCAATAGATAATCAATATCTACAGTTAATAACTCAAGAATGAAAGATCTAAATACATTATTTAGGGTTATGGAGGTGACTACTAAAGAAATAAAAATAATAAGAGATTATTCTAAAGTAATTACCACAGAAGTATGAGATCAGAGATGGGGATTCTGAAGAAAAATTTTACTTGTAATTGGATGTCCTTCTGTACTATTTGAATTCTTACATCCTGGCATAGGTGCTACTTCTGAATTTTTTTTTTTTCTTTTTTTAAGTAAAACTTACAAGCCAGGTCAGGTGCTGTGGCTCACAATCCCAGCACTTTAGGAGGTGGAGGCTAGAGGATTGCCTGAGCCCAGGGGTTCAAGACCAATCTGGGCAAATGGGCAAATTGGCGAGCCCTCTTCTCAACAACAGATAAAAAAAAAATATGAGCCGGGCATGATGGCA